GGATGTTTCTGCAGTGCGTGCTCGGCGTCAAGGTCTTTGACTTGAGGTCCTCGGGGACAGGGCTTACTGTAGGGGTCTTAATAATTAGAACAGGGTTTTGGGGCTTAGGGTTTTGGGGTTTAGGGTTTAGGGGCCTTAATAGTTAGAGTAGGGTTTTGGGGCTTAGGGTTTAGGGGTTTAGGGGTTTGGGGTTGAGGGGCCTTCATGATTAGAATAGGGTTTTGGGGGATATATTGTACTATAACCACAAGGAGGAACCCCCAAAATAGTATAGGTATTAATTCACCAAGGCCCCTACATTCGGGTTTTGGGTTGTTGTGATTCTGAGCTAATTTCGGGCCCGGCACGACTCCGAAAACAGGAGTGGCAACAGCCAGATCCAGGGTTTCTTGAAGGAATATTATGGCATCTTGTAGTAAATTATAGTAGAAGCCCAAAAGTTGGAAACCCATTAGCCTCAATCCCTCAGAGTAATGTATATCCCAGCACTATTTGTCCTTTATCCGGTTTCCAACTTTTTGGGGCTTACTATATAGTGTAACACATTACATAGCACATTGCAGTAGAGTATCCCTTACTATGAGACGAACTTAAGTAGTCCCCCCCGCTAATTAAACCCCACATCATGAACCCAAACCTGGCTACCAGAGGCAGTCAAAACCCAGGCCACCTCTTCCAAAAGGTTTTAGGGTTTAGGGGCTACTTGGAGGCCCAGGGGAATTAGTAAGTAGGTTATAAGTAGAGTTATATGTACCCTAACTGTAGTTACCCCAATTATAACCCTACTTATAACCGACTTACTAAGTCCCCTGGGCCTCCAAGTAGGGTTTAGGGGCAGCTCAGGAGTAGAAGACTGCATTGCATCCAGGATCCCTCGATGGCTTGAAGAGTGCTCTTGACATCATAGTAAGAGTCTCCCTATGGACGATAAATTAGGCATCCCTATAGACCTTGAAGGGTAAAGTCCTACTATACCATATAAGCATCTAGAAACCCTATCTTTTAGTTCAGCCGCAAACTGAGAAACATCTAAACTCCTATCCTTGAGTTCAAGAGTATCCCTCAACTCCCAACCCCTATACCCTAAACCCTAAACCCAAAACCCATGGCCCTGCGACAGAAGCTCGTATCGGTGTTCAGTCAGCGACGCTGCGAACAGACGGAGCAGCTCCTCAGTGCAGATGAGGGGGTTTAGGGTTTAGGTTTAGGGTTTAGCGTTTTAGGGTTTAGGGTTTTAGGGTTTTAGGCCTAAGAAACCTATAATTCTAGGGCGTCTTGTTATGATTTCCTTTGTTGTAGAAGCCCTTTGAAAGACCCTAAACCCTAAACCTGAAAGTAGGAGAATTTTGGTGGTTCAGGTACAACCTTAACCCGAAACCCGAGGGTTCACCTCTGGGGTATGGCTGCAGTTACGATTTTAAGGTTTAGCATAGGCCTTAATAATTATAACAGGGTTGTCGGCTCCTTTATCCTATAGATATGTAAGGAACCCTGAGGAATAATATAAGTAATTATTTAGGCTTCTACATTACGAAACCCTAAACCCTAAACCCTAAACTCTAAACCCTAAACTTCAACCCTTAACCCTACAGTTAGCTTCAAGTCTCTGAGGTCAGCCTGCGGGCTTCTATTTTAGGCTTTAGGCTCTTGAAGTGTAAAAGGTGGAAGGCTTGGGTTCCGGCTTTCGGGAGTCTGGGGCTTTGAGGTAGGGTTCACGGTTTAGGGTTTAGGGTTTTGGGTTTTTGGGGTTCAGGGTTCAGGGTTCAGGGTTTAGGGTTTTGGGTTTTGGGTTTTGGGGTTCAGGGTTCAGGGTTCAGGGTTTAGGGTTTTGGGGTTCAGGGTTCAGGGTTCAGGAGTTCAGGGTTTATTTCGGGTTCAAGGCTTAGGGTTAAGGGTTTAGGGTAGTGAGTTTTCAATGTAGAGGGTTGAGGGTACGGGCTTTAGGGCTTGGCGTTGCCGGGGCTTGGAGGTTCCGGACGTGCAAAGCACAGGATAAGGTTTGGAGCTAGAGAGTTGAGGGCGCAGATGGTCCTGGGCTTTGGGCATAAGTTGGGGCTTGAGAGCTTCAGCACTTGAGGGCTTTGGAGTTTGGAGCTCTGGTCTTTCGTAAGTTTATGGCTTCAGAGCTTTTGGGTTTAGAGGTTTGGGATTTAGGGGTTTGGGGCTCTTGGGTTTAGAGGTTTGAGGTTTAGGGTTTAGGGGTTTGGGGCTTTTGGGGCTTTGGGGCTTTCGGCTTTCGGGCTTTAGGGCCTTAGAGCTTTCAGTCTTTAGGTTTGAGGTTTAGGTTTTCGGACTTTTCAGCTTTTTGGGTTCTGGGGCCTAGGGATTCAAGTTTGTAGGGACTTTAGAGCCTGATGGTGTTAGCTTACAGGATTTTTAAGAGTTGGGTCAGGAGGGTCGGGGAGTATGGGTTTTGGGGGTTTATTATAGAATTCCGAACGCCTGTCTCATCCAAGCAGGTTCGCTCGCAACGGATTTGGTGGCTTTGCGGGCAGATGCCTTCCGTGTAGGGTTTAGCTTAGGGCATCGCAGAATATAGATCCCTTTGATGCCCTGTAAGAAGCAAATCGCCCTTGCGCAGCACTGGATTTGTGAGGGAAGAAGGTCCAAGTCTTTTGCGGCGCGGCTGCCGCGCCCAGCAGAGACGGGCATTGGCGTCCAAAGACCCCATGTACTATAGGGGCCTTAATAATTAGAATAGAGTTTTGGGGCGAATAGGGTTTTGGGGCCCCTTATACTATAATTATTATAAGGAACCCCAAAATAGTGTTAGTAATTATTAAGGCCCCTACATTACAGGCTTCTGCAAGAAGCATGACCTGCCTCTGGTCTGCGGAGTCTGCAGCACCCATGTTGGAAGATTTGCTGATTATCATTGCAACAATATTTCCTGTAATCGGTGTGTGTGTGTGTATATATATATATATGTATGTATATCTTCGTAAAAATATATATAAATAATATCCAAACAAGTACAATACTACAGCCTAGGGTTCCAAGGATAGAAGGGCCTGTGCATGTAATATAGGGGCGTTAATCATTACCTATGCTATATTCTGGGGGTTTCTTTCTTATATCCACAGTAGAACATACTCCAACACCGTATTCAAATTCTTAAGGCCCCTATATTAATGGCCTGGGCCGTGTACCCAAATCGCGAGTTTCCAGAGGCTCCGCCACCCCAGGATTAGACAAGATCCCTTCAAGCATAAAGCGGGAATATGGAGTGGGATGGCCGTATAATATAGTAAGGAGGTTTCTGAATGAGGGTCCTCAGTGGCTTCTGATCTTTGGTGTGATTCAAGATGCACTCTTCAAGCAAGGCATTTTTATGAGTCTCTGCATTTAAGGCCTAGGGTAGGTCTATGAATCCACGGCTTCCCTGGATCTACTGATATGAGGTCTAAGGGTCGCAGGGTTACTTGGAGCAAGTAACATAGAGGTCCGAGTCACTAGTGAATCACTAGTGAAGCACCCTGTTTTTCCCCTTTTTGCTCATAACATGCGATGCAACCGGAACCTTTTTCAAGATATTGAGGCCACTCAACCTGCTGAAGCCCACACAAAGCCCAAGCAGACCTGCATTAATCGAACTATAGGACCCTGAGAGGGTGAGATGCTGTGTGACCCCTTTCTTGTGCTGTGGGCCAAGGCCCCTCAGCCCTAAACACGCAAACCTCCATCAGGGTAAGGGTTTAGGGTTTAGGGGTTTCAGGGTAAGGGTTCAGGGTTTAGGGTTTCAGGGTAAGGGTTTAGGGTTTCGGGTCTAGGGCTTAGAGCCTTTATCCCAAACTTTGGGCCTGTGAAGCCTCAACCCCCAAAATTCAAAATCCAATACTCACAACCCGAAACCAAAGTTTGAACCGTTTCGAACGCCCTTTGATCTGGAAGCCACCTTAGCGGTAGTTTAAGGGTTTCCAAGGGTTTCATTGGACGCTTAGGGTTCAGTAGGGCTAGGTTTGACCATGCAGGTGGGTGGCTTGGATCCTACTGGGTGCCATCGCCCTTTGTCCAAGAGCTTGCTTGGTTTTGACTTAGGATTGAGGTTAGGGTTTAGGGTTGAGGGTTTAGGGTTTACGAGGAGGTTGTCATGGTTTTGGGTGGGTTGAGGGGGTAAAAGGTTGCGGATTTACCTACGTTGCAATCCCGAGCCTGAAGAATTTGGAAGTTGTTCGGCCGTCCTCTTTAAAGACTTCGTGATGTTATACCCTATTCGATTAAATTCAGGCCCCTACATTACATTACTCGGTCAAGAGCCTAGGAGCCCGGAGGTCAGGTCTACTGATGCTGAAGTGACCGTCTCGTCAGGCATTTCTGGTTGAGGAATCTGATCCGTGGATTTAGGGTTAGTTCGGGTTGAGAGGTTTGTGGAGCAGGTTCGTGGGCTACTTCGGCAGAAGTCAGTGCGAAGCAGACTCAAGCCCTCTACATGAACAACAGTTCACTTGCATGGACGTCGTTCTCGAAAATTCCCCAGGCCCTGTACAGTAGTAAGCTTTAATATCCTTGAACCCGAAGCCTAGACCGTACGGCAGAGAGATCTGTAGCGTGAAAAGGTTCAGTGTTGTGCACAGGAGGCTCGCTGTTGAGTAATGTTCCCTCAGATCCCTATAGCTATCTGGCAACAACTGCGCGGTTCTGTCCCCGCAGACTCATCGTGGACCTTTAGAGACGCACCTACAACTTCTGGTCGCAAGACGCTCGGTGGTATAGAAGTCTGAATTCTAAGCAAAATTACTCTTAAGGTTTCCTTGTCACTGTTCAGAATTAATCCAATATTCCTTTTCTAGTGTTGCTACTACCGCCACAGCCACCACAACCACCACCACCGCCGCCGCCGCTACCGCCCCGCCGCCGCCATCACCACCACCACCACCACCCCCAGCACCACCACGACGAGGACGACGACGACTGCGACTGTAATGCTATGCTATAATGTACCCCACCACAAGCCCCTATTCTGAAAAGCTTTGGCATCTATAGCAAGCCCACTCTACGAGGTGTTCATTCTCCTGGTCATCAACATCCTGAACACCAGCGACTCGATGGCAAAGCTTGTTCCTATGCCCCCCCCTCCGGTTTAGGGTTCAGTGCTTGCAGGTGTAGGGTTTGAGGTTAAGCTTAAAGACCTATAGATCCAGCTTTGAGCCCCATGAAACCTCCGCCGTCCCGAACCCAAACTTCTAGTCCGGGGTTCCTTAGAGTTCGGACAACGCGCCGATGAAGGGGTTTACAGTTCGGGGATGTATAACTCTAGTCGCAGCTGGTAACATACTTACCAAGTTCCTTGATCCTCTAAGTATTCGCAACCTGCAACAAAGGCGCTAGCCTCTGCTGGATTCTCTGTACCCGCCACACTCTGCTACTGCTGCAGCGAAGCTTCAACCCGAAATTCTCAATCCTAGATCCTAACAAGGTTTCCGAAAGGAAGAGTTGAGGGTTTAGTTTTAAAAGAGTTTATAAGGTTCCTGCTGGGGTTCACGCGATTACTTGAACAAAGGGAGTCCCTGAAACCACCAAAACGGGACGATGAGTTCGAACACTCCGGAGGAGAGATCCGTAGCGACAAACTCTACAGTTGAGAGCTCCAGAGCGTCCCCATCCAAACCTCTACGCCCAAACCCTCATTCCCAGAGACTCCAAAACCCCTTAAGTAAGGAATATACCTTAAATCATATTAGAGGGTTCCTATTATAATTGAAGGTATAATCCTTAATGAAGGGGTTTTGGAGTCTCTGGGTTAGCCATCCAAAACCCAGCAGCTGCAGCTGCTGGGGAAGCCTTGAGCCCCAAAACCTTGGTCACCAAACTCAGGCCCGGGTCGATAATGTCCAGGGGTTAGGGCCCTCTAGGTTTAGGGTTTAGGGTTTTAGGGTTTTAGGGTTTAGGGTTTAGCTTTCGCACCAGGCATTGGTTTCATTGCCCGTGACTTGACCAACGCCCTCGTATCGAAGGCACGTATGTAGGAGCTTCTTCTGGACGGGTAGGGTTTAGTGTTCAGGGCCTAAAACCTCCTGACGCAACTCCATTTAACAACAGAAAGTAGCGGGCCTTCCGTGAAGTAGGGTATATCTTGGGGTTTTGGTGAGTGTGTGTGAATATATATGTATACAAGTAGGCATATACCTACACAGCTGCTTTAGAATCTTGCTGGGTGCAGACCTGAATTCCAGCAAGAAAATCATTTCAGATTCATCTCAACCGCTGCTGCGCAAGAACCCTACTAAGTTTTAGGGTTTTCTGAGGCCCCTGAACCCTAAACCCTAAAACACAAACACATCGGGTAAACCGTAACCCCTAAGTACGGGGTTCAAGATCCGGGGTCGTAGACTTAAGGCTGTTTGGAGACGGCCAGGGATCGTAATGTAAGGGTCGGAACAACCAAGAATAGAGTACCCTAAAGATTCCTTCTTTTTTTGACTCAGCATCCCCCCATCCCTGTTCTAGTTGTTACAGCCCCTTTATCAGAAGGCTTTGGCTGGCTGGACAGGCGGATTGAAGTTGCTGCAGGTCTCATGCTTTTAAGGCTTGCATGTGCAGTTTTTCTAAATGCGGGCCATGAGGGTCATGGGTCAGAAAATCCCCTAAACCCTAAACCCTGAACCCAAGGGCAGAAAATACCCTAAACCCTAAACCCTGAAGCCAAGGGCCAGTAGATACCCTAAACCCTGAACCCTGGACCCTTGTATTCTTGATTTGGCACTCTACCAAACCAAGCTCTGACCCTTTTGCCCCAAACCCAGAGGCCCAAAGCCATGAACTCTGGAAGCCACTTTTCTCCAGGGTGCAGTAGGTAATATAGAGGCCTAATAAATACCTATACTATTTTGGGGTACCTTAAGAATTACTATAGTGTAGTGTACCCCAAAACCCTATTCTAATTATGAAGGCTCCTAGATTACCCTTTAAAGCTACACTTCTTGACCCCCCCCTTTGTAGAAGCCTTATAGGAACCCTCAGCGGAGATTCGTTGCTCCAGGACGAGAAGCTGACGTACAAGGTCATCGGCATGTATGCAGCCTGCTTCATCGTAGCCCTCCCGAGCCTGGGCTATGGCCCTCGGGTTACTTTAAGAGGGAACTGTCTAAGGGTCCCTAAACGGGATCTTTGACGGGCTCTAGAGGGTGCAGGGTTTTGGGCATTTGGGGTTGTGTAGTCGGGTTTGTGGCTGGAGGGCTTTGGGACATTGTACTTGAAGTGAGGGGTGAGCTTTAGGGTCCCAGGGACCGCGGCTGAGGGTTCCGAAGCTCTGGGTTGTGGGTCTCAGGCTTTAGGATTTTAGTGTTAGGGTTCCGGGGTTTGCTATTCCTCACGGTTCCTCATTCTAATCATAGTACAGCAACCAACGCCCAAAACCCTCCACTAATTATTATGGCCTACGATCCCGTATTGAGTCGCTTCAACCAAACCTATTCTTCGTTTCAAGGCTCAAGTTAGGTGGAATCATCTTGAGCTAAACAAGGCCCCAGTCTGACGGAGGAGACTCCAATAAGATCACCTCCAAAAACTCGTACTGCTTGGTTTAGGGTCTAGGGCTTAGGGTATATCATAGGAAGTCAGCTTCAAAAGTGGGGGGGGGGTATCAGAAATGTTGAGGTCCCAACCTCCCAAAGCCCCGAACTAATCAGGGACCCTAAAGCCCCTACCACTTTTCCGCCGTTATCAATCCCCTAACAGCCCTGGTATAGAACTGAATAGTCCCCACAAAGGCTCATTAAGGATTTTGATGTGTGACTGCGAAGGATCCGAAGCGCACAGTTCTGGTGCACTGCCAAGCTGTCCATCCTTTGGAGAGACTGGCTGACACGGAACTTCATCGATGCGCACTTGGGCACTGTTTACGATGTTTCATTTCTGGAGGATGGGGTTTGAGGGTTTATGGCCTCAGGACCCGAATTGAGCCTAAAACTGGGGCAGGTTTTGTGTGGGTCTTTGTCTGTGACGCTGCGGTAGGGATCCGAGTGCCAGATGCCAGTCGGTCTGAACTTTAAATCCGAACCTAAAGCCTAACCCCTGCAATGCCCAACCCTTAACCCGCGACCTACCCCGAGAGCCTAAACCCCTGAGCTCTAATGCCTAAAGCCTCAAAGCAGAAGACGAAGCTGAGGTCGGGTTTCAGGGTTTAGTTGCAGGTTTGGGGTTTAGGGTTATGGCAACTTAGGTACATGGATCATCGAGCCTACTACGTGCCGTGGCGGATGTTGGATTGCCGATTTGGAGAGCTAAACTTTGCAAACTAAGCAAGGGATGCAGGGAATTCGCCGGCAGTCCGAGCAGGTAGGGCGTAGAACCGCCAGCCTGAACCCTAAGACTAGGATTTGGTGCTGGGTTGAATCTGAAGCTCGACCCTGAGCTACAACTTTGATGCGAATACCCCAGCATCAAAAAGACCACAAAGACTGGGATCTTCTTAAGGAACTTAACAGCAAGTTCCTATAGTAAGGAAGCCCAATCCATCGTACATCCCGATTATGGTAGCTTACATCGGGTTCCTCAGCAAGAACCCGCCAGGATTCTGGGATCCAAAGCTCAGGGGTGCCCTTTGGGATCCCCGCCTACTTTCTGAGACTTCCTACTCCAGGAGCCTTAAGAATTACCTATACTATTTGGGCGGGGGCGGTAAAAAAAAACCCAAAACCCTACTCTAATTATTATGGCCCCTACAGTATCTGAGTCTCGTCGTAGTAGCCAGGATTTAGGGCTTCGGGTTTAGGGCTTTAGGCCTTCAGGGCTTGGCAGTCAAGTCAAAGTTCGTGAAATCGGGCTTGACTCCGGACGGAAGTTGAGTTCCATGTAGGGATCATCTTGTTTCCCGCCGTTGGGTCGCTCGGTCGGCACTGGGTTCGTATATCTATAGGTCATTCAATGCGGTTTAGCGATCAGGGACGCGTCCCCATTTGTGGGTCCATCTCTCGCCCTCCGCGCAGTTTGCTGTGTGACGTACCTGTCTGATTCGTTCAAACCTTGGCTGAGGCTGGGTTTGTAGCTGATATTGGACCCTAAACCCTAAACTCGTAAACCCTTAAACCCTAAACACCCTGAGCCCAAAACCCTTAAGCCCTAAACCTTGCTCCAAGCCGCAATGCAGGTGTCGTCGGAATCCAATCCTGCAGTTTCTTTGTGTGTACCTGCTGCTCGCCTGGCATGCACACCTTGTGCCAGACACACCCGAGACCCTCACCTCTTGAGCCCTCAACCTTTGAACCCTGAAATCTTAAACCCCGGATCCTAAAGCAAAAAGCCGACAAGGCCTGAAAACCCTCGAGATCTCGAAGCCCGAAGGACATCAACCCGAACGATGAGTCGAACACGGAGGTGGACAATCCGGATCAGCGAATCGCTGACGAGACGCATCTCAAGAGGGATCTGTAGGTCTTTCTTCCGGCATCTCTCTGTCTCAGATGCTTTACGACTTTGTTTATGGGGCTTTCGCATTTTACTTCTTCAAAGCAACTGCCCCAAGCCATGAGACCCAGACGCTCACCCAAACCCTATCAGCTCCTGGGGTTTAGGTTTAGGGTTGGGCCTTGAGGGTGCAGGTCTTAGGGTTCCTTAGGGTTTAGGGTTTAGGATTTGGCCTTTGGGGTTAGGGCTGCCATGGTCCGAGCCTGCAGGGTTCCCACAGGTCTTTTGCGTGAATTCAAGCAGTGAGAGTATGCGGTGCAGTACACTTGGGTTCTGTAGTTGCATGCCTGTACCCGAGTACATTGCAGATATACACATGCACAGTCAAAGGTTAGGCCTACATGTACACATGAGTACATGCATACGTACATACACAGATGATGTGTTTGGATAGGTACTTCGTCTGTCTGTCTGTCTGTCTGTCTGTCTGTCTGTCTGTCTGTCTGTCTGTCTGTCTGTCTGTCTGTCTGTCTGTTGGCTAAGCAAGCCTGCAGCGACCCGACCAAACTCGTAGACCCTTGCAATCCCTAAGTCCAGAAACTGCATACAGTTCAAGAAAGCTTGTATCAAGCATTCATAAAGCAAGTTTTCATAGAGTCATAGACCTCTTACAAAGCCCCAACGCCATAGGTCTGTAGTCGGTTTCTGCCACCGCCAAGGATGTGAGAAGCTTCACAAGAGAGAGTCTTTCCTTCACGGCGGCTTCGCTTCTGTTTAAGATGTATTTCCAGGTTCGGGCTTTCATGCTTTTGAGGTTCCGGGCTTGGGTGAGAACCCGGACATAGGAAGCTCACTATGGAGGGTTTTTCCGAGGTTTGGCTACTCGTCTAGGTAAAAAATCTGGATTCCTTAACCCTCGACTGGACTCCTTCCGAGGATGACGAGTCTTCCATCGAAACACGGTCATTGAAGCTTCAGCAGCTGTTCCTCTCCCTCCAGCACCTCCGCCAAGAAGCACCCACGATTCCGATTCCCAAGAGACCGTGTCACCCTAAGCCTTAAGCCCTAAACGCTTCACGCCTTCATTTGAGACTTAGTCTGGGAGTCCCTATTCGGAAGATCCGGGTAGTCATGACCTGTTTGTAGCCGTACTCAGAACTCAAAGGACAAGTTTAGGGTTTAGCGCCGTTTAGGGTCTAGTAGGGTTTAGTACCTTGGATGATGGGGTGGTAATCTGAGTGTGCAGTCCAATCGGGTTGCAGACGTCGGAAACCCCTCGTTGGGACGTTGGGATCTGATCAACCCTAGAAGATAACCCCTGAATCCTAAACCCTAAACCCTAAACTCCTATACCTAATGTAAGTTGTGGCCATCCCTAGGACTCTAGCCAACAGGTAGGGGGCGCTTCCGTTCGGGTGTCTGGACACTTCAAAGCCCCAAGCAGGGTGCAGAGAGCTACGGTTTAGCGGTCTCGGTAAAGTTGTGAATACGGTTTTCTGAGGCGTTGATCATGGTTAACAAGATCTTGGTCGTATCACCGTTGTTCCGAGGCTGGATACGATTCCGGTATGGCCCCTTCAAATCCCAAAGAGGCAACACTCTCCTCCCCGGGGTTTCAGACTGAACGCCCCAAGCCCCAAAACCGCCAATCCCCAAAATAGTGCCAAACCCCACAGAGTCCGCATAGAATCCTCACCCTTAGGGTTTAGGATTAGGCCAAGCCGCCGTATTTCGCTTGCGTCAGGTCGGTGCTGTAGATGCATTGTTGACTTTTGTGGCTCGACTGCAAGCCGAACTCAGGTCAAGATCTTTGCTTTGTTTTTTGAGGGGAAGCGGCGGGGGTGGGGGCTAAGTAGGGTTTTTAATTGGTTTAGGGTTTAGAGGGTTTTAGGACCCCACGACCTTAGAACATATGCCGTCGCCCAACCCAAACATGCAGATGCGCAGCTACAAAAGCAGGTGCTGGAGATGGAGGGTACCAAAGGGCCAGAGGAAGAACCACGAGCTCGCTCAGATTGCACGCGCACAGGTCCCTCACCTCGCGGAACCTGCTCCGGAGCCTGTATATGGAGTTTGAAGACCTAAAAGGAAATCTATGCTGCCTACATGAACGGCCGCTCAACTCGATGACCTTCGAGTGTTTGCTAAAAGGAGGCCACGATTGCATGCCCAGTGCCGCGCTTTATGCATTTGAGTGCGTCAGCAGCCCAAGGAAACAGCCGCATAACATCTTGAAATTTCGTAGTGATTCTTTCGTGCCATTTCTTGTCGCCATGGACTGTCTTTACATTACTGTTCTTGGACGCATGTCGGCCTCGATCCCTGCAAATTGGTTGGACGAGGTCTGGTAGAACACGTCAGCTCCATACACACATTTCACATCTGCCAATTTGACCGGCCTGTGACCATCAAGATGAACACGTGACTCAGATGTCACGAACAGGCACGCGGTGCAAACTGATGAGACGGGATGTCACCCACAGCACTGCACGTGCTGCGATGATGCGTTGCAGCGCCTGCGCATGAAATTCTTGAATGCTCAGAGGGCCCACTGGGCAATGGTCGAGTGAACGTAACTTGCGCGGAAAGGAAAACCCAGAGCTTTGCCTGCCATAATCAAACAAACCACCATGACAATATGCGATCAGACCATCGTGCAAGCGCTAGATAACAAACATTTTCCACATGAAACTAGGCAGTCCGTTCGACGCAATAACAAGGATACCAAAAAAGGTCTCACTCTTGGCCTTGTGAACCGTTTTTTCCATAGCCAAAGATATCTCAGCCGCATGTTTAAACGCGCCATCCTGGGCCAGACGAAATGGCCCAAATTTTATTACTCGAGCATACAGGTCAATGAAGGCACCTTACCTCGGCTGTCCATGTCGATCGATTGAACCGCGGCCCTTCCGTGCGCACAGCTTCGGGCAACTTCACGGGAGGGCGACTGTGGTCGTACGACAGATGTAATAGGGCTTGCAGGGATCGCAGGTGTTCTTTGTTCAGGCCTCTTGAACCTGTTCCGTCGGTCTTTCCTAGCTCTCCAGCAACATGGAGGCGGCAGTTCCCGAACCTTTGGCCAACCTGCTCTTGCAGGCTCGTTTCTGCAACGTCTGCATGGTTGTCAAGCGCGAAGGCCATGCGCACAAGCACCGCTCACAAGGCGCACACGATCTGCGTCTCTTAACAGATCATGAAAAGGCCGGCCTTTCTCGGCGGTGGCGCGAGGAGCAGGAGATGAGTAAGGAGGCCAAGAAGCGGAGGTTGGCAGAAGACCGCCAAGAGAAGCTGCGTCGCCGACAGGAACTTTCGGTTTGATTTTGGTAAGCACAAAGGCCTCACCCTGGATGAGGTGGATCGCAAAGACGTGTCATTCCACCCACCGTATGATGTACGACATAGTTCTCTGCCCGTCATATCTGTGTAGTATCTCTGATAAGCCGCAGCAGCAATTCAGGGCTGTTCTCAAAGTCAGTGTTAAACAGAGCCATTGTGCAAGTACATCTTGACATCAGGAGATCCCAAAATATCCGAGCCCAAAACTCATTCTGTTATTCTCAGGATCCGTGCCCCCTGTGCCGGAGCCCTTGTGCTCTTTTGTTAGTGTATTTACAAGGATGATCGACGACAGTCCCTCCAAAGCCTACCCCCTAAACCTTAAAGGCTTATCCTACAACCCTAGCGCCTTATAAGACCTTCCAGACCCCTTCTGGAAATGCGTGGAACCGTATAGAGCCCTGCGCAGCCTGCACAAAACCCCAAAAACACCATAAAACACCTTTGGCCCGGAAGTTCGGATTCCAGATCCCAAAAAGAGATTTACCACTGCGCACAAGAGGGTTTAGGAGGTAGGATTTGAGGTTTTGCAAGGGCTTGAGGGTGTTAGGGCTTTGCGACCGTAGGCTTTGAACATTTTGGGACCTGAGGGGTTCAGGGTTTAGGGTTCAAGGCATGGTTTCAAAGCTTATAGTTCTACGGCATTTCCAGGTGCTAAACATTGCAGTTCTCTGGGAGATCAGCCGTCGCCTCAGCAACACAGGGGTGGCCGAATAAAACCCTAAACGGGGTTTTTCCGACGCCTCGAGCCTGCGGCTCAGGAATGACATGTTTTTGGGAGATTCAGGGTTCTAGAGTTCATGGATACGGGCTGCCTTAGCAATTGCTCTCTGTAGCAAACACCAGATGCAGGCTATGGAGGGCCATAGGGGTTCAATGAAGCTGTACTTAGAGGTCCTGGCAAATGCGATCCCGCCTTAAACTCTAAACCCGAAGCCCCAAACCCTGAACCTTAAACCCAGAGCTTGAAATTCCACCTCTGGGCCGGTTGTGACTTTGAGTCTTTGGGTTGCACCTTCGGCATCGTCCGAGGTCCACTGAGGTTCCCCCAACTATCCTCCAGTTGTGCCCAAATGCCCACTGTCAAGGAGGTGCTTTTGGGGTTTCCGGATTTGAGGGTTGATTCGGGGTGAAGTAGTTCGCAAGTGCCTTAAGGTGATGGTAGCGAAGTTCTATCCGAAAACGGCTCTGCGCTTGCCGGCTTCCGATGAAGAGAGTATGATGCCCAAAGTCTGTAGATTCTCAACGTTATTGGTCATCCCAAATGCAGATACTGAGTAGTTAGAATCAGCTATTCCAACCCCTCTTTCTCGACGTATACGTTTTACGCATATGTTATATAAAATACATATGTATGTATGTATGTAT